TTATTAAACCATTTATTTACATCAGTATGGGCTCCTGGATATTATTTTATACTTTGAGTTATAATCCAATACTACTTTATTTTGTTGCTAAAATTGTTCCAGCTTTAGCCATTGGAAGCTCTTTCAGTTGGTTTCTGTGTCCTTTTAATATAGTTTCATTAAAGTGGGGTTTTTGTTTTTTTGAGCACTTCTTTACTTTCTGTCATTACAAGATGCTTCAGGCTCATCTTGTACATTTCCTACCTCAGTCCTAGAATCAATCATTTCTCCAAGGAGCCTTGGTTCCTCTTATTGGAGAATGGAATTAGAAACCAAGATCTGAGTGCTAGGTGTACTTGTTTCTACTGGGGTGTTATTTCTTTTAGGACCTCTCAGCTGATAAAGCAAAGTGTGTGTGTGTGTGTGTGTGTGTGTGTACACATGCATATACTAACTCTTTTTTTTTTTAGGTGAGGCAATCCTTCATTGACCTCACAGATTGCAAGAAACTTGTCAGCTTAAAATTCCTTATTTTTTTGTTTTTTTATGACTATAGCACCTGGTCTTCCTAGGTGGTCTCCCATCTAAGGACTAACCAGGCCCTACCCTGGTTAGCTTCCGAGATCAGACAGGATCAGGCTTGTTCAGGGTAGCATGGCCGTATACATATACTAACCCTTCTATATGCACATATCCATAAATATTTCTATATGTAGCCATCTTTATCTATATTAAGTTAAACCTGAGTTCTTACTGATATCTCCAACTCTAATCTGTTATCATATGATGGTAATGTTAATGTTGACCTTGATTATCTATACATTTCCACTTTAACAGTGAGAAACCTGGTTCATACCATCTGCCATCCATTTGTTGTTGCTTGATTCCATTTTATATATATATGGCAGTATCTCAAAACGTTTGTTTTATCTTCTCTCAGATCAAACATCTTTAGTTCCTTTCATTATTTAGGCTCCACACCATTTTGCATAACCACCATCAATTCTGAGTCCCTGGTTTTCCTGTTTCATGAGAAATAAAGAAAGATCTCTCTCTCTGTTTCATAAATGAGAAAAATGAACTCTAGCATATACGAAGCACCAGTTTAAGTAATTTACACATATGAATTCAGTTAATCCACACAACAACACTTTAAGGTTGGTACTGCTATTATTCCTATATTACATGAAGAGGAGTTAATAATTCACTGAAGGCTAAATGACTAATAACTAGTGGAGCTTGGATTCAAAACCAGAGTCTGCTTCAGAGTATGTATCTACGAGCATTATTTTATGCCGTATTGCTGCTAGAAAGATCTTTCTGAAGTACTGCTTTGTGTATGTAACTCCAAGCCTTGCAAACTGTCAATGGTTCACTATTGCCCATAAGATAAATACTAAGTACTTTAGCTTAGCATTTAGTGCCTTCCACAACCCAATGTACACCATGCTCGAGTTTAACTAGCATGAGCAGTGAAGACCCCTAAAGTATGCCAGATACTCTCGCTTCAGCTAATGAACATGCTCTCTACCGTTCCTTCCAAATACAACCCAGAGGGAGCCACACTATTTCCAAAAAGCCCCATATTCTCTTGGCCAGACTGCATTCACAGTGATCTCTTCCTTTTTTTGACGCTCATTGTCCATACTTTTATTTGGTATTTATTCTGGGTTGTGTTTTGTTAATGCACTTTTCATTTATCTGTTCAGTCTCTCCAACTCATCGGCAATGCCAGCTTGTCATTGTTGATGGTTATAATTTTTAATCCTCATAAACTTATTTAATGAGAAGTTGGGACTCAATCAGGTTTGCCATTGTAGTAGTTGCTCAAATGTCATCATTATCCAGCCAGTAGACAACCAAATCCTGTATATAGCACACATTAGCAAATCAAATTAGTTTGGTTTGAGGCTATGGCCCATGCTCTATGCAGTCCCTTCTCCTTTAGATCATTTCCCTTTTCTGGAAGCTGAGTCAAGATAAACTATTCTAAATAGTCCGCATTATTACAGCTCTGTGGAGGGCTTAGCTGTGCTAGGCAATATTAAGTTGAAGTATTGTACCCTATTCCTATTTCAATATGGCTAGTATACCAAGTTTTACATAGGTAGGTCTGGCATCAGCTGTGTTTCAGCTTTGGATAAATATCATTTGATTCCCTAAGTGAAGGCTGGAAGGAAGAGAAACCCTTGCTTCTGCTTCAAAGAGTAGAACCTAGATTCTAGATGTAGCTTGTTTTTGTTCTATTTTAGTCATTTCAGCACCACCATCATGATTTTTGCTGTACCTACACAGTACTCACATTGTTTTTTTAACTTAAATTTTAGTCTCATTCTAAATAATAACAAACACAAAATTATAGGTTTCATGTGCTAGCTATAGTTTTTCAAATGGATGTTAAAATAAACACATAACAATTAGATAACTGTTTTATGTATACTATACATAATTATGTCACATGCCTTCATTGTAGGCTCACCATCCTTTAAGATGCATTGTTCTGCTGCTTTGGTCTCCCCCCTCCACCTCTTTCTATATGTGAATTCTCTCCTGATCAGGTCACCTATGTTCAGGCTGGGTGACTGTATTCTGGTGGGTTCCACTAACGCACCTTCAGAGCCACTCGGGGTGAAAGCATTCCTGGGCAAGACTATGGGCATTTTCTTCTTTTTAGCAAAAGCAGCTCAGCTTTTACTCTTACCATGTTCAGGGCTCCTAGTTAAGATTTTATTTGAAGAAAGAATTATGTGAATTTTTAAAATGTGAAAACCATAGGACAAATCAATCCAGAGTAAACACTGATAGACATATCATTTGTTTGGGCAGTTATTCATTCAGTCATTCATACATTCATCTAGCACTTCTGTAAGCCTTGCTTAGCTCTTATTGGTTTTGGGGTCAGGAGAACTGGCTTCAAGTGTATTTTGTTTATTGTAATGAAGCAAAAAAAATGTCTAGGTGGCTTGAGGTGAAACCATGCCCAGCACTGTTTCAAGTCTCTTCCACTTGATCTAGGTTGAGAGTAAGCCTTTGGTTCAAGCTGAGAAGCCCTCTTCCAAGATCAAGAATGTCAGAATGACTCAATTATTGCCTAAGGTAAGAAATGGTACTTAGTGTCTTTTGTTTAGGAGACGTTAAGAGCAGGTAGGTAGCCAGGGTAGTTTCTAACAGGCATTTTTGGTCAACTCAGCATAACACGATGAGCACATTCTATCTGCATCCCGATGCCCCATCTCCATATGACATTAAATGTTCCTATTTATTGATACTAAGACTACCTCTTTCCTAATCAATCAATCAACCAATCAATCAATCAATTAATCAATGGCAGTATTGGGAGGAATTCAAGTGAGTAGGTCAAGTCAATAATGTAGAGAAAATGGGAGCTTATGTTGCACCAAGGAAAATTTGCAGGAAGAACTTCTCCATGTTAGGGCAGTAAGATATCGAAATGATGAAAATAATGGCCAACACTTATGAAACAGTCTATATAGATTGCCTCATCTACCTCACAAAAAGTATGAGCTTGGTCCCATTGTTGTTTGCATGGTAGTGAGGAGATTATTGAAGCTTAGGTAAAGGGTGTGATCCGTTTAAGATCTACAGCTAATAAGTGGAGCAGGGATTCAAACCCAGAGGCCATCTGCTTGACCACTCTGTTTTTCTCTGCAAAAACTTTAAAAACAGATTTAGGCCTAGATTTGGTTCAGATTCATCCTTGCTGTGGGCATGGTGCTGGAGGAAATAACCTCCTGAGACATTTTCTTGCCTGAGGCTTCTATAACTTTTCCATTTTCTCCTTCTATAGAGTACAAACACTGGCATCACTTCCCTCCCTTTTGTGGATACCAAGGGAAAGAAAAATGTGATTAACTTCCCATGCATCAGCAACAAAATCCTGCTAAAGCCACCTCTAATGTATCAGGTGAGTGCAAGGCAGTAGACGAGGCCCTGTGCAAGAAGGCAAAAGACCTGATTTCAGTCTAGAACCAAGTTTAGAAAGGCCCAGGATGGTGGGAAAAGCACAATGTCACCAAAGAGTTGGGTTCTAGTCCTGTTCTTACTCTTTACAATGAATGTAAACTTCAGCAATTAAGTCATTGACTTTCTTTTATCTACAAAACAGGCTCTCTATAGGGTTGCCACGAGGATTCATTGAGGAAAGGAAAAATGAACTGTTTGTTGTATAAATGGTAAAAGTGTACAAATGTTTTTTTTTTTTTTAATTTTATCTCCAATTCTCCCTACAATTTTTGTGTAAGGACCAAATAAGATAATGTGAGGAATAGCCAAGTTTAAAGAGATATTACACACTCATAAGTTTGAGTGTTTGTGCCCTTGGTCAAGTCACTTCATATAGTTAGGAACTGGCCTTTTCAAGAGCAGCTATAAAATACTCTTCCCATCTCTTCCTGCTATAAAATGTCGCTGGAGTTGTCAACTGCATATTGTAATATACATGGGTCTCACAGAGAATAATGAGAATGAGACAGATACTTTCTTTGAGAGAAGGACTGAGAAAACGTACTGTCTCATAATAATTACCATTTCTCCCTGTAGCGACAGGAGTAGAGTCTTTCTGGAAGTTGTTCTTGGTTAGATAAATGGTTTAGGACATCCAAAAGAAGGCTAAGGGATCCTTTATCTCAAGTCTCTTGCCCTGGACAGGAGAATCAAACTCACAATCAGATGTCAGCCTCTGAGCTCCAGGCTTCAGAAAAGCCTTTACCTTCAAGCATTAACACCCAAGATCCTACACCTGAGAAGGAACCACCAAGGAAACACAAGGTGCCTCTGACAGCATCAGGTATGTCTTTCGGGGCAGCAGCAAGGTGTAGACGGGTGGTTAGAGATGGTCAGGTGTCAAGAGCTGAGCTGAACTGGAGAAGGCTAAGTTGCTAGGTGTTGGAATAGTCGATTAAGGCAACAAGCCAAAATGAAAGTAACAGTCAAAGCTTTCATCACTTCCTGTGATAGTATAAGCAGGAGGCTAAACAGAAGAAAGCACTGACTCCCCACTGTTCCATTTCCCACCATGGGCTGGCACCAGGCCAGGGGCAGATGCATCAGTACAGTAAGAGGAACTATCTCACTGCCTAGGTAGCCTGAACAGGCCCGTGTGTGTGTGTGTGTGTGTGTGTGTGTGTGTGTGTGTGTGTGTGTGTGTGTTTATGGAGGAGGAAGGGGGAGAAAATGGGATGGGGAAGATCTAGGAGCAGAAAAGTACTGAATACTGAGTCAGAGTAGAGGAAAATGTCTTGAAGTTTTTCCTGTCTTTTTAATAAAGAGGTCTTGGCAGAAGTATCTGAGGCAGACGCACCTCTGGATGGAGGTTCCTGGGTTAGATATGTTAAGAGCATGGCCACTAGGGGAACCTGAGTCCTTGACTGTAACTCTTCCAAGACTTAACTACATACTATTGTGGACACTAAATTTACTCCTGGATTATTTTTACCCATGCTGCTACAACCCATAGCTCTTTGGGAACTGAATTCTCCTTTTCGGTACAACACCTTGACATTTATCCGTGTTACAGTTCCAACTTGTGAAACTCGAGATGCATAGTCCTTAGTAAACTACTTAGCTGATGAAAGGGCTGACTGGCCCATAAACTGGAAGGGCTGCCCTCATCTGCCCCGTAGGCAGATCCCCACATTGCCTCAACTTGACTGACAACTACACTGTTTTTCACACAGAGGCCCTAAAGTTTTTTAGGAACAAGTTGTCTTCTTATGAGCAAAGTGAAATCCTGGGCTACACAGAGCTGTGGTTCCTGGGACTTGAAGCTGAGAAGCTCCACGTGGCTCCTGAAAAATTCACCAGGACAAGTTTTGATGATGAACATGGCTCCTATATGAAGGTGATGGGGGAGTAGGTCATAAAAACTGCACAAGTTTGGGGATTGGGGACAAGAGATAGTCTGGAAAGGAAAAAAGTGTAGGATATTTTATGGCATTTGGTGCTGATATATCCAGGACTAGGCATCCTGATGGATTCCTGTAGGTGCTAAACCAAAGAAATGCCATGTTTAAAAATGAGAAAACATGCAGTTAATACATAAAATACTCTGCTAACAGAATACTGGTTTTCCCCAAGAGTATTTGGGGTAACAGGTATCCTGGGTGAACTCCCACAGGCTCTTCTGCACAGCCGTGGAACTATTGGAAAAAGTCAGACTATAGAATAAGACAAGTCTCCCCAACATTCCTTTTTTTGTCTCCATACAAGCCCATACTTGAAGTTTTTTCTGGTTCATAATAAATATAATTTCCCTCACAGGCAAACAAAAAGCTTTTGCCATTATAGTCCCTGGTGCATATAGTCCTTGGTGCTTGACTTCAGTTTTCCAAAGATGGAACCCAGTGGCCTTTCTTCTCTTCTGACTATCTCCGGGGCTTCCCAGGACAGGGTCTCTTCCCACCTTGAAGATGAAGCAATTTCCACTTCTGAGGATGTCCAGATGAGTGATGCTTAGTCCAGTAGGCTGGTGGGTTGGTGAAAATTTCTTTCCTTGGACTTTTCCCTATAACTTGGTTAGGTTTAGGAGACAGAATTAGTCTTTGATAGCTTTGCAAAAGGGGAGGATTGTCTTAACAGCATTTAGGCCTGTATTTCTCAAGCTTTACTATGCACATAAATCACCTGGGGATCTTGTTAAAAATGTGGATTCTCATCCAGCAGGTCTGGGATGGGGCCTAAGATTTTGCTTTTCTGAAAGCTTCCAGGTGATGCTCGTGCTGCCGGTCCTTGGACCATACTTTGAGAAGCAAGGATTTAGGATTCTGCCATATATCCTCTATCTAGAGCCCTAGTTCTCAACATTTTTAGGTCAGATCCCTTTAGGAATCTGATAAAAGCTATAAATCCTCATCCCAGAAAAGAGACCTGCACATATGCAAAATTTCAGCAAGAGGGGGTGGATTGTTAACGAGTGCCTGGTTAAGAATCTTCAATCTAAACCTTACCTCCATTTCAGCCAGATATCCTCAAATCTTCTCTTCCCCGCACTCCACCCCGAATCTGGCCTAGATTTTCTGGGAAATTCCCAAGGGATGCCAGCACTACCTAAGTTAATTCACTGGAACTCAGTTCCTCAATCTCAAATCTCAGAGAGCTATGTTTTGGTGCAGGGAGAAAGATATGAGTGCTTTCTGTATGCTCGGAATCTCCATCCTTATTACATTCTAGTGCTCACAGAAATATACAATGCACATAGCACATTCCCAAACAAGCAACACAACTGCATTCTCACATTGATTCTGTCATCAAATGTTAATTGAATATCCATTTATTAAGAACCTATCATACACTTGGGTGTCTGCTAGACTCTAGAATACAAAGGTGACTATTAAAAATGAATGCGACTTTGTCTTTGGCCTTAAGTAACCACGATCAATGTCCAAGTTGACACAAGAGTGAATAATTATGATACTCCCAACCTGGTGGCATGTAGAAGATATGTACGAGTGCTAGAGAAACAGTCATACCTTTACAACATGTGCAGAACCTATGCCTTGCCCTTTCCCCACATATTATCATGACAGACCTTATGAGTAGAGTAATATACTTCCATATATCAGTAAAGTTGTACATGTTCATATCCATGGTCTTGATTCCTCCTGTAAGAACAGATCCCCACCGCACAATTACAAACACATCCTGAGGACTTGTGCACAAACACTTCTTCATCTCTCCCGAATTCATAAACGTAACCCTAGGAATCCCAGATTCTCAGACCTAGAAAGCCTTAGAAATCATCTTATATAGAACCTTCAGTTACATCTTATCTGGAACCTGCAGCTCAGAGTGGTAGGTGGCTTGTCTGAAGTCACCCAGAAAAGTTTTTTTTTTTTTTTAATTGATAATATCCTGTTGCTTTGACTAAACACCTGCTTCCTAGTTTTCAGCACATGGAGGGACATGGGTGATTCTGGCTCTTGAAAAATACTTCTCTTCTTAGTTAAGAAAGGTCCAAGTTCTGTACTGATAACTTCAAGATAGGATTAAATCTGGATAAGTCAAGAGGAGAGCTGGATCTGGCCAGGAAGAAGCAGAAATGACACAAAGCCTTTGATTGATGGAGACATGCCAGGGATCAGAAATACGACTTCCTCCAAACTGAAACTGCTCCTCTTCCCAAAGACCGTCCAATGCTCTTCACACTGCTTGACATCGGTGGCCTGGGATCTGGTCACAACCTAACCATTGCAGTAGCAATGAGATGAGGGTGGGAGTTGCACTAGTGTCCAGTGCAATTCAGAGCATTCTCCCCTGGAGTCAGCCAGAGGCCCCAGTGTCAGAGAAGCCCTAGAGCCTACAGCTCTGTGTCTTACCTTTTGCCTGGTTTCTGCAGGTTCTGCATGACCATGTTGCCTATCGCTATGAGGTTCTGGAGATGATCGGGAAAGGGTCCTTTGGACAGGTGGCCAAGTGCTTGGACCACAAAAACAATGAATTGGTGGCCTTGAAAATCATCAGGAACAAGAAGAGGTGTGGTAGATGGGATAGGCTCTAGGGGAGGGACTGCATGACTCTGGCCCCTTCATAATGCCAACCCTTCCTGACTCTGCCTCTTTCTTTGATTTTTTTTTCTTCTTTCTCTACCTATCTGATTCCATGGTGGGGTAAAGGCAAGAGTATGGACTGTTTAGTGCTTTCTACTCTGTTGGGGTCAAAGGGGGGGGGACTGAGAAAGTGAGCTACTGCTGCAGCATCATATGACACCATGTCTTCCATCTCCATTCCTCACCCTCCTTGCCATTCCCCAACCATTTCAGATTTCACCACCAGGCCTTGGTGGAGCTGAAGATCTTGGAAGCTCTCAGAAGGAAGGACAAAGACAACACCTACAATGTGGTGCACATGAAGGACTTTTTCTACTTCCGCAATCACCTCTGCATCACCTTTGAACTCCTGGGGTCAGCTGCTCTTTCTTTTGAATTCATTTTCTTTTGAAAAGTTGCTTAAAGTGACAGAAGAGAAATCCGGAGGTCAGAACACTAGATTGTTCTGTATGTGAACATTTAATGAATAGAATAGACACAGTGGCCACTCAGTTATCTAGAAAGCTCAGGAGCAAGGAGGCTGGTACTAAAGCTGCCTATCTCACCCCATCCCTCAGTTATGCCTGCCACCTGTCAGTGTAAACAGAATTTGCCACAAAGGTGCTGGGTGCTGGACTGGGTGACATAACCAAAACAAAGCCTCTGTCCTCAAGAGAAAAACTGAAATATTTTGAAAAGGACTTCTCTTCACTACCATGTCCCCACTCACTGGATTTTCTACCCTGTGTGCAGAGGCTGGAACCCAGGGGAGCAGGCAGCTGACTGCTCAGAGTGGGGAAAGAGCTTTAATTTGTGCAAATAAGGACAGGAAGAGATTTTTTTGGTAAGAGAACAGAACCTGACAAATAGATTGGCATCGCCTGGTTGAAGATTGGAGCTGAACGAGTTAAGGGCATGCGAATTTGATTACTTTTCCCTCTGGGAAGACCATCTGATGCAATTTAAATAAAATCAGAAACCCAGAATACCTTTAGCAAGGGAGAATAATTAGAGGTAAGCTCTCAGAGGCCCAGTGACATTGACTTCACTGAGCTGGTAGCTTGGTGTTCCCACGACACCATCGCTGATGGTGAAATTCTAGGAAATTCTAAATTTGAATCAGAAGTGAAGTTGACACTCTCCTCACCATCTCTGATGATTACAAAATATCCACCTCCCAATATGCAGAGGTAAATTATCTTCCTTGTGGCAAAATGGACAATCTAGGCTGCCTTTGTTGGCTATTAATTACGTGCACGGTTAGGATGTCATTGTACTTAAAACAGCGCTGAGAGGTCAGGAGCAGCAGGTGTATGGAGGGAGAAGCCAAAGCCCAGAGAGGCTAAGGAGTTGCTCAGGGTCACACAGCTCGTTAGGGTGACACCAGAGCCAAATCTCACATCTCCACTGTGCCCCTCCAGAATGAAGCCTTCCGAAATATAGTCAGATTTAGATAAAACTTAGAGATAGAAGATTAGGGGAAACCAGGAAGAGGCTGATGCAGTCATTTCTGGGCTGTGTCCTCTCCTTCCTCTCCCTATCTTACAGTTTGTACAGAGGTCAGAAGCTGGCAGCACACAAATAAGTTTTTCTTTGTAAAATGCTTTACATTAGTTTTCAACATTTGTTAAGTCAGCAGATTTCATATAATATGTCAGGTTTTTATATAATATTGCCGGCTTTTGCTGGTCTAGAAAATTTAGGATAATCTGGTAAGAGTGAGCCCTCATTCCTGCAAAGTGACAGATTGGACCAAGCGTCCAGGCTTGCTTTAGATTGGGTTCAGCATCTCTGTTTGCCTCAGCCTCCATCTGCCCACTTTCTTATTCCTTTACCTGTCAGGAACCTGACATGTTTAGACAGCCTTATGAGGCCTGGGCAGGGTGGCTGCTGGGTTGAGTGACCAGTGGACTTACTGGATCCCTTCCAAGGGACTGAAGAACTATGAATATTTTAGAAGTTTAGTCCAACCTCTTAACATTCACAGTGTGACAAAGTGATTAAATGACCTTGTCACATAAGAAATGAGGAGACATCTAAGGGTCAGCACAGTTGAGTGACACCCTGGACCACTGTGAGTCAATGGGAAAGTTGAGTTTATAGGACACAAAAGCCCTGCCTCCTGGTCTGACACTTGCCTACTGCCAGAGGGAAACAAGGTAGTGTGGGATTGTTTGCAGGTTCGAACTCAGCATTATACCTTTTACACTGATGTACATCACTTTCTCTCTTTCCCAGAATCAACTTGTATGAGTTAATGAAGAATAATAGCTTTCAAGGCTTCAGTCTGTCAATAGTTCGACGCTTTACTCTCTCCGTTTTGAAGTGTTTGCAAATGCTTTATGTAGAGAAAATTATTCACTGTGACCTCAAGCCTGTGAGTACAACCTCTGTCCTACCAGGGGAGCTGGTTCCCAGCCTCAGAAACTCTTTGTCCCATTCCATTCCCCAATGGTAAGTAGGCAGCATCATAGCCAGGACTCCAGGGCAGACTTCAAGCAGTCATAGGTTGTGTAAGTCAAGTGAGGTGTAGTGAAGACAAAGGAATGGATGTTCAGGCAATGAAGAGAGATGTGGTGCCATTGAGGCAGACAGAAATAGGAAGTTCTGTGAGTTTTCCTTTGGAAGGCTTAGGGGTATGCAGAGACCTGTGTCATACAGAGAGATGGATCAATGTGGAACTAAGTCCTCGCTATATCCGTTCTGCTCCTAGTTGGTCCTAGGATACAACAAATCTCTAACTACTTCTACTGCAAATGGATGTGCCCTTCTCCCATGTCCTGCTAGTATTCTATACTTAGCTCTATTACTGCACTGATTGCTTTCTGTAGGAAAAGTTTTTATATTTGTATCCCCCACTGAACTACAAATACTCCCAAAGTCAGCAACCATGCCTTCTTGCCACTTTATTCCCGGACCTAACATGGTACCTGACAACAGTAATCATAGGCAATAGGCACATGAATGCTTGTCAGACAAGTTAATGATTACAAATGTGAGGAATACAGAGAGGTAGCTAGAGAAAAGGTATAAAAGTGTGAAGATAGAGGGTCGAGGAGCTGGTTTCCAAAACAACCTGACTGTCAGAGTTATGTAAATATCTCTTAACTTTTCCTTATTCCTTTCTTCTCATACCCCAAAATGGTTAATTAAAAACAAAACAAAACAAAAACAAAAAAAAAACAACTGTAACTCTTTGGGTAAATTTGGACATTTTTACAATTAAAGATCGTCAAGATAGAGATGTTCTCTCAGGGCTGACTGGTAGAACCTCACAAGGATGGTGCCACATTGATTTATTCTCCACATTCAAATTTCTAATCCTCAGCTTTGCAGCTCCGAAAGGTCACAACAACCATGGTCTTTGGGTTTAAGGGACTGACACTCACCAAGAAAATCCACGGGACACTAGGTAGCCAAAGTATCGGGTAATAGATTTCCTTGAAAAATAGATCAAGTAGATTGGAATTATGTGCCCAATAGGGAAGTATACACATAACCAGGAGAGTGTTTGATGAGTGTAGATTCAAGAATCGAAGTTATTCCTATGGACTTGATGGTTAGTATCAATGAGCTGTCATGGCCTGATGCATCTATCTCTTCTAGAGAGCGACTTATGCTAATAAAATGGAAAGGCCAGTCCCATCTAGCTAAACTGCCTTTCCACTGGACTAGAGACGCAATAGAAATTCTTACTCTTTTAAGACCTGCTGATCATACTCTTTCAATTAACACAAATACTCTTTAGAAAAGGTGCTGTGGACTAAATTGGTACTTCCTTAGTTTCTGGTGCCAGAAGTTTCAGACCAGGCCTGCTATGCCAGATCTAGAATGTTAAGAAGCTCAAAAAGCAATCAATTCATCTGATATTCATAATAATCAGTTCACATAATATTCAGATTCTTGAGAACACAATTAGGACTTTAATCTTCCATCCTGAGGTATTACACTCTCATACTCTGGCAGGAGAACCCAGGAGCTCTGCCTCCTTATCCCTGATTCTGCTGAAACTCCTGGTTTCATATATTCCCCAAATTCAACATGAAAGTCACAAATTCCAATCAAATTATTGCATTTTGGGGGGTCCTCAACTGTCAAAGCAGTATGTCATAGCAGTATGTGGGGCACTTAATGGAAACATCAAATTCTGTCGGTGATAATTTTTAAGGCCTTATGTAAGTAAAGCATAGGACCAGGTGCCAAGGAGAGAAAAACAAACCCACACTCTATATGGGGAAAGAAACAAAACATATACAAAAGCTGCAAAGCAGCAAATAATGAATCTGAATAAGAAGTACAGACCACATATCAAATGGGAAGTCAGAGGAGAAAAAAAACAATGGTATCTGGGGAAGATGTGGGAGGAGTCCACCATGAGGTTTTTGACTGGATCCTGGATGATCAATAGCGAGCCTAGGACAATGTTATTAAAACGTGACCTATGTCTTTCTTCTCTGTAGGAGAATATAGTGTTATACCAGAAGGGCCAAGTCTCTGTTAAAGTTATTGACTTTGGATCAAGCTGTTACCAACATGAGAAAGGTAGGCCTCATTCTTATTTCTTTGCCTGAATTTTCCTACTGTGATTTCCTATTGTGATTTCTTTCCCTTACAAATACAAATACTTCACACATGTGGTCACTTGGGTTCTAGTTTGGGCCCAGCCATAATAATTGCTTGTATGATTTTGAACAAGGTGCTTCTTTTCTCTAAGACTAAATTTCCTCATCTACAAAATGAGACGGTCAACTCAGATACCATAAGGGTCCTTTGCAGCTCACATATTCTGTGGATTTGGAACTACCCAAAAGCATTGGGTCCCAAATCTAATAAAACTAACTAGATCAGAATCACTTGTGGCCTCTGAAAAATTAAAGCTTCCAGACTCTCACCCCCAATGTATCAAATCTGAATTTCTGGGGGAGTGCCCAGTAGTATACACTTCAGAAAACAGCCATTCTAAAGTTCGTGGTTCACTGCCCTAGGTGCTCTAAGCTTTATACTTTCTTCAAGCTAGAATCCATAAAGCAAACTTAGAGTATATTTGCACAACATTTTCTCAACTTGATTTAATAGTCTCTTTTTTTAGGCTTTTATCAAGTTTGATGTTAAGAACTTGTACTATTCAACAAATATTTATTGAGTATCTGCTGCATGTCAGTCACTCTCCTGGACATTTTCTCAACTTGATTTAATAGTCTCTTTTTTTTAGGCTTTTATCAAGTTTGATGTTAAGAGCTTGTACTATTCAACAAATATTGATTGAGTATCTGCTGCATGTCAATCACTCTCCTGGGTACCAGGAAAAAAAAAAAAAGAACATTGCTTGTCTTTGGGTTGCTTACAGTCCAATGGAAGAGACATAAACATAAAAAGATAACACAATAGGTGCAATGATCAGGGATAGATAGAGACTGTGTTAAGGGCACACAAAAGAAGACCTTTGGGACTGCCCTTCATGGTGGCAGGGGTATCAGAAGAAGCTTGTGAAGTTGAAGAAATGGCTACTAGATGGATGTGTTCGAATATTCTACAGCACCACTTTTGAAGATATGCCCTTTACCTTTTATGTATGGATCCCATTAGAAATTCCAGCTAGAAAACAATGTGCCTCTCACAGAGAACCTGTATGCTTACTCTTCTCAGATAGGAAAGCTGTGTAACCTCTTAGTTGCCATTTGTAGTGGCTGGCAGGATGCTCAAAACCAAATTTGTAATTATTTCATCCTTGGTTTCTGATAGCCATTTCCTCCTTTATACTTTCTGACTTCCCTTTATCTTTAGTCTAAATGTGAGAGAGTATAGACTGTGCATACTAGACTCAAACTGCCTAGGTTCAAATCCCAGCTCTGCCACTTATAGCTGAGTGACTTTGACAATGTAATCTCTTTATTCCTCAGTTTCCTCATTTTAAAATGGGAATTGAGAGTTCATCTGTATAAAGCACTTGGAAGAGTACCTGGCACATGTTAAGCATTTTATAAACATCTGTTAAATCCAGTTTTTAAAACTACCCTGTACATATACACTTTGATTACAAAGTGCCTCACTCATTTTAGAAGGAGGCAGGATATAAAAGTCATTTTTATTAAATTTTTATATTGTCTTTAATCACAAAATTATTAATTACATCCTTACTACAACCAAGTCAAACAACAGAGAAGGGACTACAGAATCCCTGCCTCACCCCCATTCAGGGAGCCACCAAGAATAGCATGTGGAAACAACTAAAATGTCTCATTTCTCCAACCTCAGTCTCCTGTAAAATCTAGACCCCTATACAACCTCATCTGCTGAGATTTTATTGAGCTTTTCTTTCTATACTTTGTGTTACATAACACAAGCACATAATATATTGAATACATATTTTTAAATTATGCATTTTGCGTGTTTTTTTTTTCCAGTTCTGATTTGCTTCCTCCCTTGCCAAATCACAATACTTTCAGAAGATGTTTACCCAAAATTAATCTGACAGTTTGGACTCTTAGCTTTATATTAGTCTTACATATTCCCTCTTTTTAAAACTTAGTTGACTAAAATTTATTTCCCTAGAATGATAACTATTTTAGAGTTCTTTATTGATAAAGTGAGGATAGTAACACCTCCATGATAATTGGGTTGCTGTGAGGATCTGATGCCTCTAGCCTGAATAGGTGTAGAGAGTTATTATCGCTCACCCTCACCTGAGACGGTTATCCTGGAGAAGGGTGTTCTGGAGAGGAGAATGTTTTCCTACATGAGATTTCTCTTTCTTTTCCTTGCAGTATATACCTACATCCAAAGCCGATTCTACCGATCCCCAGAGGTGATTCTGGGCCATCCCTACAACATGGCCATTGACATGTGGAGCCTGGGCTGCATCATGGCTGAGCTGTACACCGGCTACCCTCTGTTCCCTGGGGAGAATGAAGTGGAGCAGCTGGCCTGCATCATGGAGGTGAGGGATGGGTGCCTGGCCGCGCTCAGTTGAGGTGCCACAGGTCAGCTAGCTTCCACTCTCAAAAGTTGTGTTTTATCAGACTCACAGTAAGGCAGCAGCCTGCTTACTTTTTTGTTCTTAGCTGGACATTCCCTAAAAGTATTTTTGAAATTATGTATCCCTTTGTACACTTTTAAATTAACATTTAACCTTTTGATAGTTAAAAAATTACAAAGGATATAATTTTATACAATAATATAAAACTTGTTATACCAGTCTTTCAAATACATTCAAAAGAATCTAAAACCAGAGTGATATAACACCCATCGAAATTTATGTATTGTTTAGTCATTAGTTCATTATCTTAGCTTTCTGAGAAAAATATCTCCCAATAAAAATACTTTACTAAGATACATCATATAATCATTTATTATACCTATTATTCTTTTACTTAAAGAATAAACTCTTGTTATGGAGCTAAATTAGGTAAAACAGGAGAAAATAACCTTAAAAAATAGGAAATTTCACATTTTAGGAATTTTCCAATGAACAAAGACATTTTGACTGTGAACAAAGATGGAGTCCATCCATCTGTCTATCTGTCTGCCTATCTATCTATCTATCTATCTATCTATCTATCTATCTATCTATCTATATCAAATCTTTATTTTCTAGATTGTCCCAAAGTTACAGATAGTCAGAAAAACACATATACTCTTGAGAATTATTAAACATAGATAGTTTCATTTCGTGGTTGAAGCTAATCATAAAATGTTAAAATGTAGCAGTAAGTGATAGCTATAGTGGAATGAACATTGGCCTGAGAATCAGTAAACCTGGAGTCTAGTCCTGGCTCTTTCTCTTTAGCAACTTCACTGCTCTGGATTTCTATAAAATGAGTAGATCAGCATAGATGGCTTCTATGGTTGATGATGGATGATTTAATAAAGCACCCCCGAACTATTCCTCTTTGTAGTACCAAGGAGAATAAGTACGGGATCTGGGTTGAGGTTCCTACTGCCCTAGATTCAGTTTCCTCTTGACCTCAGTGTCAATAGGGTTGAGGATCAGGAGGTCAGGGTCATGCCTGGATATGGCTGGGAACTCAGCTTCAAGTTTAGGTGACCCAGGGCTGAGGGTGACACCTGTATTTTCTCTATCTCTGTATACTCTATAGGTTACAATGGAGAAAGGTAAACAAGTAGGTGCTACATTTTTTTTTCAAGTTATTTGATATAGTAGTCTGATGCCTATCTGATGATTTTCATATTCTTTTCCTTTTCTCCCTTCCCAGTGCTCTGAGCCAGGATATGACATTCCTTAATTCAGGGATGGTCAGCATGTTCACTGATTTATTCATTTTGACAGTGAGATCCGGCTGCCATCAAGAGTGCCTACTTCTAGTTGGCACTGGTGCCTATTTAGAGTTACATGACTGGGTTGATGCTCAGGATATTGAAACAGCCCTGGATTGAAGTCAAAAGACCCAGTCTCTGGGCCTGTTCTGCCACTGACTTGATGTTACCACTTAATATCTCTTCTGGGTCCCTATCTCTAAAAGGCAAAGTTTGGCCAAAGTTCCATTCAGCTCTAATGGTCTTTGAACATGTGACCGACTTCACAGAATGAACCAATTGCATTTTACTTGTTGAAGGTACTGGGTCTGCCACCAAACCACTTCATTCAGACTGCGTCCAGGAGACAGACGTTCTTTGGTAAGTCCCCAGGTCTACTCTCTTTATCCCATTGTGGCTGATGAGGTGTCACAGGCCTTGAAGACATCTCCCATATCCAAATGCCATTTAGTGTTCTTCCCCTGGCTCCATTTCAAAGGACAAGCTATGATTAGGGGTTTCTTTCAGAAAAGTAAAAAATGCTGAGAAGTGGTACCAAGTGGCGCGATGGAGATGGGATAGGGAGGTCACTTTGAGAATGAGGTCTTGGTAGTAAAAATGTGCAGGAGCACGAAAATGACTGGGTTCCTGCTCAGAAGATCTGTCAGCAGATCTTGAAATCTTAAAAGATTATAACAATACCCTTTCCTATAAGTTCTCCTTGCATCTCCAAAGAGCTTGCCACCTCATACTATGCACTATAGAGGGAAATTAAAGAGTAGAAGCTTTTTCTCAAGAATAGTGGAAAATTTCATTGCTACGTTCTGTCATTAATGGAGCATTATTCTTTCCTACTGAAATTATTTTAATCCTCCAGAACTTTCCTATGCCAGGTTCATTGCAACTTTGGAATAAGATGGGTAAGCAAGGGCTGTAAGCTTTGCTGTGAGTGTGTTGTGGCTTGTCAATTATGAATAGGACATCTGCCTAATTACTGGGGCCAGACCTCATCCACAATCCCATTCTGCCCTTCATCGTAGTTCCCAGGCTCTGGGGTTTATTATCTTCTGTATTTCTATTCAAATGGTACTGTACAAGATGGACAGATAGATTAACAAGGCCCAATTGAGGCAGGCCTTCCAGGGCACTATGTACCAAAAAGAAGAAGTCAGCTCCATATCTAAAATCCTTTTGAAGAACCACAAGAAGTTAAAAGATTCTCATGTTGGAAAAAGCTGTAGTGGCCCAAAGGTTAGCCAAGTGGTGTGAAGCCAGATCTGGGGGAAGGGGGAGTCCACAGACAGAAGACGACATTGCTGACCAGCCATTGTCATTAGGTTAGTTCATAGGCTCATAGAGGCTGTGGAATCCATCATTCCTAACCCTCTCACCTCTTATTTTCACCCAAGAGTGGCCTCAAACTGGGAAGACAAATCACATAATTCCTCTCCACAATTTGTCCCATCAATAGTAGAGTCAAAAACACTGTCATGGGAGATCCTCCTGGTCAAAAGGGTTTCGGTCATGTTGGTGGTCAGTCATGTGGGGGTTAAAATGTAGACTATTTCGGTACCATTTTATAAAATGCCACAGCTCCAAGACCCTGCCACAGCTATAGGCTCCATGGCCCCTCTCTCAGGACTCCTTGGACTCCCCATGATTCAGAAACTAAAAGTTTAAGGCCTGGCAAGTAGAGATCCTCTAAGATCTTACTTCAGTTCCAAGGCTGCCATCCATTCTGATTGGTCAGTTTAATTCTGTTCCAATGGTAAAATCTTTTATATATCACCTTGTAGCCATAGCCAGAGCTTTGAAGACCTTGCCTCTGAGCAGGGTCAATGTCCTGGTAGTCTGAGAATGGTGCCCGCACATTAACTAACCCTCTGCAGAGCAGTCTGATGGCAGGCAGAGGATGTGGCTGACTCATTGCTATAATTTATATAACAATGGAACTGGTCTTTTGACCCCAAACTAGTCTTTTGGATTTTGAAGGATTTAGGAAGTAGAGATATTGGAATTCCCTCCTGCTAGACAAAGACATTGTGGGAAGAGCCACAACTTAAACCTATAACACAACTCAGAGGATAGGATGTGAGTGGAGACTGAAAAGAAGGGAATGTAGGGCATCTTGGTGAGAGGATACTAAAGATATATATGCATGTTCATTTTATAGAGTATCCCATTTTTACCATCAGCACTAGGCTATAGAATGATGATGTGGTTTTGGCATCAACATCCACATGTCCTCACTTCCCACATAAGAAAGGACTTTATTGAAAGCTGCATCGTTTTCAGTGTTTCTCAAACTTTATCCGATTATAAAAATCACTTGGGTACTTGGCAATAATGCTAATTCCCACGATCCTCCTGTGTAACCTATGATATAGTAGGCTTGATGTGGGTCTCAGGAGTCTATGTTTTTTAACAAAAGCTCCTTGTGAATCTTATGACAAAGTTTGGGAAACACTGTGTCCATTTCAGTTCTCGGCTCCCCCTTTCCGGGTTTGGGTTGCCAACAGCTCCTCAACTCTCAGCCACTCCTCAAAGATACCCCTAATTAGCAGCAAATTGATGTTACCTCAAAGGTAGTATAGTAGTAAGATACTTAGGTGCTCCAGGCCACAAGAAGAGAATAGTTGGGAAGCATCAGAGGGGTGAGAAAAACTTGTACAAGAAAATCAATTAAATAATGATGACTTTAGGAGCTATGTTATTTAGAAGCCTGTAAGCCTGTTTCTTCTTTGGTCATTTGTAGAAAAAGAGCAACTTATGGGATAAGGTTGGGGCACTGGTGCCACAGTCAAAAAGAGAAATAGAGATCTGTATGAATCTACAGGACTTATACCCTATGCCATGCCTCCAACCCTTATCCATATAAATACATAAATATACATGTGTGTGTATCCACGCATACACAAATGCACATTCATAGTCTCTTCCAGGAATTCAGTTAAGAGCAGATGTTCTTTTGGAGGACCTGCAAATTGCATTGATTGCATAAGTAATGGAAGAACTTCATTATGCACCTTCCAGAAGGTCTGTTATATAAAACCCACTGAGTTTTTGTAAGAATTCTGTTTAATGTGTAAATTATGTGTGTGTGTGTGTGTGTATACATAGCTAGCCACCCATTTACATGCAGATTTACCAGGTGTGAGCATAAGTGGGCAACTTTTCTGAACACATACACCAGAGCCTAGGTGTTTAAATGAGTGGTCTCACCTTCACAGCATCGCACAAAGCATCCTTGGAGCTGTCTTCAGGGCTTCTTTTCAGGCATGACTAATCATACATTTGGTGAAGGCTTTAACTGGTGGAAAAGGCTGAAGAAAGTTGTTTCAAGTGTCTTAAGCAGCTAATCAAAAATTATGAACAAAATTTTGATATGACTGTAAAGAAGTAATGAGATTGATTTGATTGTGTAGCTTGTAAATGGGCTCTGAATGCAAATCATTTTCCTAAAATGAATTTCTTGTTCTATGTCCCAAATTCTTACTTTATTGGGTTAGTGGGGAAGGAGCAAGGGCATAAGTAATCCAAGAATGAACAGTATCTTTTCTATTCAACGCTGAATGTTTTCATTACTTCAGATTTTTATTATTATCCATCATCATCATTATTATTTTACCTTAACATTAAACTATTTAAACCATTTAATTGATTCAGGAAGGAGGCGTTAGGAAGGAGTCTCAGTACATACTGAATAGTAGAGAAAAATTTTTGTAAAAGTTAATTGTATTCATTGGATAATCTACATGTGCTTATTTCAAACTAAGACTGCAGGTGTGTTTGTCTGGAGGGGCCGGTGTAGTACCGAGAGTAAGAGAGCTGCAAAGACCACCTCAAGACGCAGTGTGGTTGAGTGAACAGCTATGATGTGACTAATGGTTATTTACACCTGGAACTAAACACAGAATGTTGTATCTCTAAAGATTCCAAAGGTTTTCCTAAAAATATAACCAACAACAGGGGGAAAAAAAGATACCCGGATTCCAAGGATCTCACGATGGTGCTGAAAACCTACGACTCTAGCTTCCTGGACTTTCTCAGAAGGTGTTTGGTGTGAGTTTGTCGGGATGTCTTTGTCTCTGATTTTCCTCTTAAATACTTTACTTTCCCATATGTTTGCTGGTGAAAGTTTGGGGCTGGGAGACAGTTATAAAAACAATAATAAATCTTGACTATAGAGCTTTAGAGTTTACAAAACGTTTCCCCATCTGTTGCCTCGTCAGACTGCTCTCTCCCTCTCCTGTGTGATTGTCAGGGCAGATGATTTGTTCTGTTTTGAGATAAGAAGGCTGAGGCTCAAAGAGGTTAAGTGACTTGCCCTGGATTATGGTATGTGGGTAGAGCTTGCCTTCTTCTTGGCCTCCAGCTGCCTGGCAGTGAGGTTGTAGGCAAGTCTCAAATGTCTTCTGCTTCATGAACTGAAACCAGCCGCTTCTACATGCCAGTTGTAACTATTTGTACACTTGCCCAGTGTGTGGTTTCAGGGCCTCTTCCCATCCCCCTACAGTTTAGAGCCAATCCTTTTGTATTAGGGAAGGAAAAGGGTGAACTATAAACCATTTATTATGTACAGCTTTTTAGAATCTACATGCATATTTTGAATCTTAGAAATTAGGTTCTGTACTTCAGTCAAGTCATAGTAAAAAAAGAATAGCACCTAATATACCCAGAACAGTGGCTAGTTGAGGACATTTTTGGAAAATGTAAGTTATTGTCACTTCTTAAAGAGTTCTTTGTTTGTTTGTTTGTTTTTGCCAGTCTGTCTCCACTGAGTGGCAAATAGATAAGCTGTGTGATATTGGCAAGTCATTGTCTTTTTTTGGGCCTCGGTTTCCTTTTCTATAAAATGGAAGTATTCCTAACTTTAATTCCAGTAATATCAGTCCTATCATTGTGCACTATTTTTAGAAGACCATATCTTTATGTTGTGTCATTCTTTTAGTGGGCTGGAGTAGTTTTAGCAAACACTATTCTGGCATTTGTTGCACTCTGGAATTTAGGTACTAGCCCAGAGGATAAACCCAGGTACTGCTGAAAGTTTTCCAATCAGGGGGTCATGGTACTTATCTAATAAATGGAGATAGAGAAGGATCCTGTACCCACATTACTCCCACCCCATACCAGCCTCTTGCTAAGGCTATAGAAAGAATGTGCATTAACGAGTGACAGAAATTCACTACTGAGACAGAGGTGAGTTTTCCAGAAACCCCAACCATGGAGAACACAGCTCAGAACCAAGAAAGAAATTATTATCCTTTTTAGTACAAAGGACTGGTTGCTCACAACTTGCAACAAGCAGTCAAGCTAATGGGGCCCTGTTACCTTATCACTCCGTATTCTGCAAATTAGCAAATCTTGGAATGAGAAACTAAAAGTTTTAAATTCAGTTTAACAGGGTTAACTGTAAAGTCCTGGTCTGAATTTTATAGACTAACTCTAGAAGTTCAAGAGAGGGCATATGTAGCTTAATAGCAGTTCATTTGGCAAAAAGAACTGGGAACTTGAGTTATTTATGACCTTGACGAGTTTAGAATATGAATGCCACCTACCTGCAGTTAGAGGCTGTTCCCAACATGATGGCACCAGTAAGACAACAGCTGAAATTTCATATCTGTGAAAGTGGCAACTATATCACATGATCAATAGTTGGTAATAACATAAATGTTTTCAGATAGTTGCAGGAATATGACATGAAAGATGGAATAGTTGCCTCAATCTGTACAATGCTAATAGGTAGACTTAGGACTTGGGTCAAAGTTACTAGGGTAAAAGTTCCTGGGAAGTGAATTTTGGCTCAATAAAAAGGAAGAACTTTTAAAGAATTGGAATTTTTTAAAAAATTGGAATAAATGGTTCTGTTAGTGGCTTCTCACTAAAATTACTCAAGAACAGCAGGATGATTCCATGTTGAGGGTTCTGTCAAGTGTATTTTGTTACTGCATTAGAAGTTTGGCTGGATTATATCCAAGTCTCCTTATAATCTTAATATTCCAGCATTCTATAATATTCTTTGTGGTATATTTGGAGGCCCAAATTCCATAGTTTTGAAATTGAAATTATCTCTTTGTTTTGCTCTTGTTAGTTTACTGAATCCCAAATCTCATTGGTTAAGATTTTCCATAATTTTTCTTGTAAGGGAATTTTTAGGAACTCTAGATGATTTGGGCTCTAACATGTTTTTTGGCTTGTCATACAAATTTATTAAAAAGATTATTTCCAATCGTTGTTTCCAGGCACTTTAAAATTATATGTCATAATCTCTATTCTATGGTATCTGTGAGTTGCAACATAAATGGGTTCTTTAAAAATGAACCATTTTTATTATACTTGAGGTTCTTTATTGAAGTCTTTGAAAATGTCTCGTTGTTAAAAGTAAAATAACCCGTGCTGGGCTTTGTTGGTATATAGATGGGAACCTTCTCTTCGCATGACCCCTGACCAAGCCCTCAAGCATGCTTGGATTCATGAGGCACGGAATCTCAAACCACAGCCCAGGTTCCAGGCCCTGAAGAAACCCAATCTCTGTTTCTCCTCTGAGACAAGAAAGGACAAGGTTCAAGGGCATCATCACTCGGGTAAAAAAGGTATAGCCTTTCAAATAGCCAGACTTCTTCCCATAGTCCAGGGTATCGGGCATCTCTGGAAGATTGCATGTCAATTTCTCTGCACTCAACCTTGGAAAATTATACTGGTTACATCACTACTGGCCTGCCATGTCTTACTGTGGGGATTTTCCTTTCTCAGGAAAATTGGTTCTAGCTGGGTTCTCCTCTTTTTTGCTCTTTATCAATAGGATTTTTAATTTTTTATCTTATCTTTAATTTCCTTTCTTCTCCTTTCCTTTCTCTTACACTGAGTCCTTTTCTGTCACCCTATAATTACCTTTTGAATTTTTATCAGATTATGAAATTATGCAAATGCATTTTATATGCAACTAGCCTAGTGGTTATGTACTTGGTTACTGGAATCAGGTTGCCTGGAATTAAATTCAGGCCCTTGGGCAATTTACTTACCTCTCTGTGTGTTTCTCCATTTATGAGAATGAGAATAATGCCTTTTCTCCATGGTTGCAGAGAAAGGATCAAATGAATTAGTAAATGTAAAGTGCTTAGAATAATGTCTGGCACATAGAATGTGCTTTACAAATGAATTCTTTTTATATTATTACAACCAGAATTTCCCTGCTAATGCACAGTTAATGGACAGTTAGCATGTAATTCACATTTGAACACTTGTTCTTTTGTCTTCCATCTTCTTCAGCAAATGTGGTCAACAAAGAAGAGACTACAGACAAAATAAAAGATGACACCACAAAGCAAGTTCAGAATTCAGGCGATCAGCAGGACTCTCTCCAGCACACAGCTGAAGTTGTCCAGCTGCCTTATCTAGCTGAAGCTTCCAGAAAACCAGAGGCAGTTGTCAGGCCAGAAGAGTCCAAGACCTCTACAGGGCAACAAAGCAAAAACTCCTCCCCCAAGAACCTAAATCTTTTACCACCTATTGTATGAACTCTGCTGAGGGTTTGTCCTGTTCCTGTTCACCAATGATTTGTATTAGAGACCGCACTTATACTGTACAATACTTTAGATTGTTGTTTTTAATGCATAAAAGTTTGTTTAAAAAAAAAAAACTCTACTCACATGGCCAGTTGGCATGATTCCTAATATGAGGAATGGGAGAGGATGTCCTTGCATCTACATTCCCTCCTTATGCCCTCAACCGGATAAAATAATGGGTGTGTGTGCGTGCACGCACACGTGTGTGTGTGTGTGGGGGGGGGAGTGTCGTTAAATATTCATTGTTATATAATCACTACTCGAATTCTAAATAAAAGAAACTTCTCTTTTGCCCAAGACAGCTAACCTATATTAGACAGTATTGTTTGAAAATGACAGAATGTGAATTCAAACTAGTTTAAACAATAAAGGACGTTTATTGGTTTACCTAATTGGGGAATCAGGAAGGGTGAGTGTAGTTTCAAGCATAGCAGAATCTAGGAATACAAACAAGGTCATAGGGCTTCAGACTCCCTCTTCATCTTAGCCTAGCTTCATTTTATGGTTAACTTCATTCTGAAGACAAGCTTTGCCCAGAAGTTAAGATGACCACTATCATCCAGTCAAAACATGCAGTCTTCCTTGCTGACAGGAAAGTCTCAGAAATAATTGGACTTAAACCAATCACTGTGTTTGCGATGTTGGGATCCTTTGATTGGCTTGCCTGGGTCACAAGCCCATACTGATGATGGTGGCGGTGGTAGCACCATGACTGAGGCTTCTCTAGGACCACCACAACAGGATGTATTCATTCACCACTCCCAAAGTCTAATCAACTCTATTTACTTTTTTGCCTTGTCCTTAGTATCTAATAAATACATAATCTGTATGTGGTTGTACTTATAGTACGGATTAAATTTTATAAGAAACATAAGATCATAACATCATAAACAACTTGGAAAATATACCGGCTTCATAGTTTCATTTTAATCACTGTGTAATATTCTAGACGCCAGGTAATTGAAGCCATGAGTTTAGATAAAATCATCCAGGGAAGATGATACAGAGCAAGAATAGCAGAGTCAAGAGAAAGTCCTAGGAGAGATAAGTATATGTAAGGGGTCGACAAAATTGAGTCCCCAAGAGACATAGAAAAATAGGAAAATTAGACAAACAAAAGATGAAGAAAATTTCTAGAAAGAAGGATCAAGATTATAAAATTCCACAGAAAGTTCAGGATAAAAATAGAAAAAGTTTCTGAAATGGACTTTAAGTCAAAGAAGTGTCATAACAGGTAACTAACTTGTCCCAGGTCCTATAGCCAGAAAGGTACAGAACTGGCAATAGAATTTGGGTCTTTTGGACCTTTTTTTGACACCAACTATCTTCAACCACGAATAAAGTTGAGGTGAAGAGTTTTGTCCTTAAAGCCAAATCCTTGATCTCATAGTTAGACTGGTTTAGGTTGGATATTGGAAAATATTTCCCAATTCACATGCTTATAAAAGACTAAATTGAGTTGATAAATCATAGCTTCTTAGTTTTAGGGAACACTTTACAGCAGAGGAGCTTCAAGTTGGAGCACATATTGGGGGTAAAGAGAACAGACCAAATGACCTTTGGCAAGATCTTTCAGCCCAACATCATTTTTCTTCTGCTATCTGATTACTTTTTCATTCCTGAGATTTCTCTACCTTATTGCCCCATTGGGTCCAAGGAAACCACACACCAGGAGCCCTTTAATTGTAATTTTTTAATTTTATGTCCTTGCTCGCATGGACGGGAAAATCTGCAAAATCCAGTGAGTAGCATAAGATGACGTCTTTGATGTGAGTAGGATGAACATAATGTTAGGGCTCTGTGAGAATATGGAGAAGGGAGCTGTGGAAGTGAGAAAAAAAAGGGAAGGGGCAAAGACTGGGCCCATTGTTGAAACGGGAAAGCAGTGGGTAGGCGCTGATCACAGGTTCACCATCAGCCAGTCCAGCAGCTGCAGCCGTGTAACATTTCCCACTGCCTCATCCAGCTGTCGCTCCTTCTCATAGCGTAACACTGACTGCAGAACCTCACCTACACTGCGTCCTTTGTCCACAGCAGCAGCTGAGAGCTGAAGTAGCTGTGGAAAGGAAAGAAAGCAGTAGTGGAGGTGCAGAACATCCCACAGCAGGCCAGAAAGGTCCTGCCAAGGCTAAAACAGATAGACTTTGAGACATTTCAGCATAAGGGATTCAGATGTTGAGAAGACTTCCTCAATTGTAAAGTTTGCTAGCCTGCGTGACAGAATAAAGTTGATTATATCATTCTCAGTTTAAAGAAGAGGTGGTAACATCCATCTGTCCATGATATAGAAAATAAGATTTCCCACTAAGACTAAAATCTTTCTGCTTCCAGTGGGTGTTTTTGGTCAATGGTTTTCTTGCTTTCTAGAAATTCTAATGATGTTCTTAAGTTCACTGTAATATCATAAAACAGTCCCCATTATTGACCCAAGACCAAACAAGGGCAGGAAAAAAATGTGGATGCTGTCCGATGTCCCATAGACCAGGGACCTCTAGAATGTTAGCGC